CCGTCACAGTTAAAACGCCACATGACAAACTTATTAGGAAGTCGTACAGTAGACAAACGTCTACTATATCAATTGTGGCTCAGACGTCTTCCTCAAAACATTCAACAGATACTAGCAATGGAGACGAAGACGTTGATTTTGATAGGCTAGCAGACATAGCCGACAGAATTTACGAACGGTCCAAGACTCACCTTGTATCTCAAATCCAATCAAGTTCAGCTGACGAGATCGCCGAGTTACGACGATCAGTTGATATCCTTACGAAACAGATAGCTCACATCCAATTATTGAATGCCTCCCACAGCAAGCGTAGAAGAACATCCACAAGCCGTAGACGACGTAGTCCAAGCACTACTAGACACAACATTTGCTGGTACCATAGAACATATGGCAAACAAGCTAGAAAATGTATTCCGCCTTGTAACTTTGCAAGCACACAGAAAAAGGGACGTCAAGACCGCAGGTTAATGACGACTGCACTCACTGACCACAAACTTCAAGACAGTCGTCTATTATATGTTACAGACAAAAGAACCGGCACACAGTTTTTAGTCGACACTGGGGCAGAGGTTAGTGTAGTACCACCTACTGCACTCGAGAAAAACACACCTGACCCCAAACTAAAATTACAAGCTGCAAACAGGTCTGACATCAAGACGTACGGCAAAAGGCGGTTGCAATTAAATTTCGGTCCTAAATCTAATTTTTCCTGGAGTTTCATCATAGCGGACGTCCTCGTTCCTATAATCGGCATTGATTTTCTGCAATTCCACAAAATACTGGTAGACGTCAGAAATAGGAAACTTGTCCTTGCCGAACAAAGTAAAGAAATTAGAGGAATTATATCAAATGAGACTTCCATACATTTATTAGTTAAACCTCATCAAGAGAACGACAAATACGTCAATTTACTTAATCAGTTTCCAGATTTATTACGACCGAGTTTCAAACACGACAAACCGACGCATACCGTCGTACACCACATAAAGACAGAGGGTCCACCAGTGTTCGCACGTCCAAGACGCCTTGATCCCTCTCGTCTGGCTATCGCAAAGAACGAATTCAACAAAATGATTGAGTTGGGCATCATACGCCCCTCCGATAGTCCGTGGGCATCACCGCTTCATATGGTACCTAAGAAAAACTCTTCCGAAGTTAGACCGTGCGGTGACTATAGAGCTCTCAACAGCCGGACCGTACCAGATAGATATCCTCTCCCACATCTGCATGACTTCACTCATAGCCTATCTGACGTGTCGATCTTTTCAAAAGTTGATCTCGTCCGTGCTTACCATCACATTCCAATTCATCCGGACGATGTTCCTAAAACAGCCATTACTACCCCCTTTGGACTATACGAATTCGTCCGCATGCCTTTCGGATTAAGGAATGCTGCACAAAGTTTCCAGCGTTTTATCGACCAAGTGGTACGGGGCTTACCGTTTGTGTATGCTTACATAGATGACCTACTTATAGCAAGCAAAGATGAAAATGAACATCTAACGCATTTGAAAATGCTTTTTGAGAAGCTAAACGAGTATGGGTTAGCGGTCAATCCTGACAAATGTGAGTTCGGAAAACAATCCCTCACCTTTTTAGGTCACGTACTTGATAAGCAAGGCATTAAACCAGTTCCTGAGGAAACACAAGCTATCAAAAATTATCCTTTGCCTGATTCATTCAAGAAACTACGACGTTTCCTTGGGATGATCAACTTTTACAGACGTTTTATCCCTAAATGTGCAGACTTAGCAAAACCACTAACTGATTTATTAAGGGGACGAGCTAAATCATTAGCAATGACACCGCAAGCAATTCAAGCATTTGATCAGTTGAAAAGCGCTTTAAGCACAGAGGCATTACTCGCACGACGAAAGGTTGATGCACCTTTAGCAATAATGACCGACGCTTCTAACGTAGCAGTAGGTGCTGTACTTCAGCAACGTGTCAATGAACAATGGCAACCCCTTGCATTTTTCTCAAAAAAGCTCAACGCAACGCAAACAAAATATAGCACATTCGGTAGAGAACTGTTAGCTATCTACTTAGCCATCAAACACTTTCGCTATATGTTAGAAGGCAATTCTTTCACGATATATACTGATCACAAACCTCTAACTAAGTCCTTGATGCACAATCATGATAAATACAGTCCGCGCGAAATTCGTCAACTAGAATTCATTTCACAATTTGCAGCTGATATACGCTATATTAAAGGCAATGCAAATGAGGCAGCAGATGCACTATCGAGATTAAATATCAATACCTTCTCGACCCTGATATAGACTATCAAGAAATGGCAAAGCATCAAAAGCTCGATACGGAGCTACAAAAGCTTTTGCAGTCTAAGGAAACGAAATTATTATTCCAAAACATCCCCATTAACAACAAGGACACCTTAGCTTGTGATACCTCAACAGGTAAAACTCGCCCTTTTGTACCCTTCGGTATGAGACGAAATATTTTTGAGAAATTACACAATATATCTCATCCAGGTATAAAAGCCACTGTAAAGCTTGTCACAGATAGATTTGTATGGCCAAAAATAAACAAAGACGTAAGAAAATGGTCACGGGAATGCGTCCAATGCCAAAAGTCAAAAGTACATAGGCACATCATATCTCCTACCGGAATTTTTCCCGCCGCTAGCGCTAGGTTCGACCATATTCATATCGACATTGTTGGGCCGTTACCGATTTCTAATGGTTACACGCATATACTAACATGTATAGATAGATTTACGAGATGGCCCATAGCTGTTCCGTTAAAAGACACGTCAGCATCAACAGTGGCGAAGAAGCTGGTGAAACACTGGATTACAAACTTCGGTGTCCCTACAACAATTACGACCGACCGTGGAACGCAATTCGAAAGCAAACTATTTCAGCAACTTACAGATACTTTCGGTATAAAGAGAATTAGAACCACTGCTTATCATCCGTCTGCTAATGGAATGATAGAAAGATTCCATAGACAGTTAAAAGCCTCTTTGACGGCCGCACGAGGAGATTACAAATGGGATATCAAGCTCCCTTTGATACTATTAGGTATTCGCTCAACCATCAAACAAGACCTCGGTTGTTGTGCTGCTGAGTTGGTTTATGGAACAACATTACGTTTGCCTGGTGAATTTTTTGACCGTGCAACAGATATTCCAGCAGATATAACCAACTACGTACAACAATTAAAACAGCAGATGGAATCCATTAGGTCCGTTAAACCACGAACCCAAAAGGTGAAATCATTCGTACCCAACGAACTAGACAAATGCTCACATGTATTCGTCAGAAATGATAGAGTACGACAGCCGTTACAGACTCCTTACGACGGCCCTTTTAAAATCATCCGAAAGGACACTAAAACGGTTACAGTGGAAAGAGCAGGTAAACATGATACAGTTAGCATCGATAGAGTAAAACCAGCATTTTTAGAGAACACTGAAAAACACACAACTGTAAAACCGTCTAAACCCGCAGCAGAGCAAGCACCATTCAAACTACCTGCAACAAGCAACATTTCAAATCAAAATTCAGCAGCAGCACAAACTACAACAAGATCAGGAAGAAGAGTACATTGGCCAGATAGGTATGTAGCAACCACTATATTTATCTAGACCAAATCCTGAGACTACTCTTATAACACATAAAAATCCTACTTTATTTTGATTACTTTTTTTTTATTGGCCCCACGGATCACCATTATGCTTACATTTTAACTTTATACAATTCATTAATGTTAAATTTACACTTGTATATACATGATATGAAACGTTTCAACACACAAGCTGTTATTACAATTTTACGCTTACTCATCATATTGAGTTGTACTTTTATTTTAAAAACAGTTCCGTTCTTTATCTCTTTGTCGAACATAGATGTTAATCGAATTTTTTTTTGGTACATAAAAACATCAATGTTCTGGATGGGAGCTTATGTAGCAAGCCCTTTTGGCTACTGTATCATTTGTCTAGTCATTGTAACTCAGACTCAATTCACTATGTTAATTTCGGTGTGTATGATCGAATGCATGTCTGTACATTAACTCTTAAGCTATTCTCCTATTGGTTGCAATGTGCAGATAATCGATAATTTATCCACACCCGATTAACTCTCAAATATATATGGATTTTTAACAGACTCACTCACTCTCTCTGTTTCATCGTGTGCTTGCTCATCGTGCGCTTGTGGATTATTATTATTCATTAACAATAAACTATCTCTATAACTGGTGTTCAGGCTTTTTAATAATCTCGAGTAAATTCGCAATTCTACTAGGAGATTAAGCCTACCTAAAATACTCAGTTACGGGATATTATTATTTGGATTCAGATATTGAGGACATCAGCCATAACAACACTCATCCACTCACTCCACCACTCATACATTCACACATCAAACCAATCATTCGAACTGACATACCAAAACAAACACAAAACAACCATGCAATAACCACACACAAATACAACCACTCACTGGATTGCCACACACACACACACACACACACTCAATCAATCAATCAACCAATCCATCACTCGTCACATTGCCAGCACACAAACACACCGAATCACTACGCATTTCCCATGCCATTACACATACACATGGAAATCTCCAACATCACTCACGCAATCACACGTGCACACGTGTCTCCCACAGACACACATGAGAGTGGACGATTCGCACACACACGATCGATGCCCACCACAAGCCTGTTAGTGTCAAACACATCGAGACAATCTCCCACTCTCACTCATGCACACATCACACCATACTCACTGGAACGTGCACTCCATCGTGCAGTCATTTCTTGCTGTATTTCGTTTTTGCCTTTTGTCGGTCTTTTTCTGTTATAACGTGTTTTTTTATAATATTTTTTTGTTCGTTGCGTGAGTGTTTTGTTACTGTTTTTTCTTTGTTTTCATTTTTAAAGCAATTTCATTTGGAGTCGATTATTATGATGAAGACAAATTAAGTCCCATTACTGCTACTTCTCCATTTTTGAAAATGCCTCGTCAAACATCAAGACTACCAAGGAAGTTATCATCTTCTAGGTCAACTTCAATCTTGAAAAAATCTGTTTCTTCTAAATCATCTCCCACATTTAATACTTCAGACATACTTCGTAAGTCTAATAAAAATTGCTACCTAACCTCTACTTTCAATTATTAATTATTACATATTTTTCTATTATTTAAATTGAACGATTTAAATATCTCAAATCATATTGTTTTTTATTGTGTTACTTACTTACTTTGGCCTGTGACTCCTAACAGAGCATAGGCCGCTGACGAGCTTTCTCCAACCCACTCTGTCCTGGGCCTTCCTTTCTAGTTTTATCTAATTGTTATTCATTCCTCTCATGTCTGCGTGTCGCCGTTTCTAGGCGTAATGTGTTGTTTGGTCTCCCTTTCTTCCTTTGGCCATGAGGATTCCATGTGTAGGGTCGCCTTGTGACGCAGTTGGGCGCTTTCCTCAATGTTTGTTCTATCCACTTTCAGCACTTCTTCCTGATTTCTTCCTCATGTGGGATCTGGTCGGTTCTCGCTCACAGTAGGTTGTTGTTGATAGTGTTTGGCCAATGCATCCGACTTATTTTACGCAAGCAACTGTTAATAAACAGTTGTAACTTGTGGATGTTGGCTTTCGTAGTTGTTGAAGTTTCCGACCCATTCAGTAGGACTGTTTTGACATTTGTATTGAAAATTCTGACCTTGGTGTTGGTTGCAATTTGTTTTGGGTTTCAGATGTTCTTTAGTTGTGAATATGCTGTTCATGCTTTGCCGATCCGCGCCTCCTTTTATTGTGTAGTCTACAAAATTTTGTTGATATGACTGATGATGTCAGATATTTTTGTCTATTTTTCAGGTATTCTACAATAATATGTTAATTGTATAATAAGACTAGTCACGTAATATTAAAACAAGAATTGACCACCCAGAGTAGAGTACTAGAGTGTAGACTAGATAATATTTTATTTGGATTCCCGCGTGCGGGATCGTGAATGCGCACTGCTCAGTAATGCCATACTAGGACGAAACGGCTGTCTAGTGCTTCCAGGTTTTCTGTGATGGTTTAGCTTTAATAGACTAATGGATTCAACAATTAAAATTACTACAAACTCCACAACACCCCGCCATCCTGATAATATTTTATTCAACACAATTACAATCAGTCATTCCTAAACAATGCTGAGTAGATATTAATGACAGGAGGGGAAATCACATATTTAATAGTCAATTAGGCTAGCTACCTGTTTGATTACGCTCGATGATTAATAAATAATGCAATCTTTCAGGTCATTAATCCCAACAACAACAACAACAGAAACAAAATAATTCTTGTTAAGTCTAATTTCTTTTTCACTGTGTATTTTAGCCAAACCCAATGAAGGTGAATATTATGAAGATGATGAACAACAAACTACTAATACTAATACTACTACTTCTGTTATTACAATTACTACTGTCAAACCGAAACTAACTGCTCAAACAGAAAAAATATCAGAACAAAAATCATCTAATCAATTAAAGCCAATGTTGAAAAAAACTATTGTATACAAACAAGCACCATCATTAAATTCATCAGATGAATATTGTAAGTTCAATGATTAATATTAAATTAACTAATTTGTAATTATGAATATACTTATAATCTTATTGAGCTAATTGACCTAAGTTAGTCTACCTCATTGAATACATGAAGTATACAACAATCTCTTTTTGGTTTATTCATTATAACATATTAAATTTCAATCGTTTAAAGATCCCCATCATATTTAGGGTTTGAATATTTTTTTTTTGGTTAGCGTTTTTTTAGCGAGTTAGTTTTCTACGGGATGGGGACGATAACCGCATGCTCAACCCTCCACCTTTATCCGGGCTTGGGACCGGCAGTAGCCCCCGGAGGGACTTCAGGCGGAGTTTCCCCATCATATTAAAAGACTAATATTTTGAATGAAGAATATTCTTTTCGATAAATTCTCTTCAGGTTCTACAATTCATATGTATCCAAATTAATAATCCGAAAAATGGCAAGGTTAAGGGTAAAGTATGTCGTTTAAAGTTAAAGCATGTGAATTTGAGATTGTTAAACAGAATACAATAAAATTGTTAATGTTGATATGATTCACAACAGAATGTTAACTTGCATCTATGTATATGTGAAGTGAAATTTAAGATCCATGATCCGAATAAATGTGGGTCAGATAAGGTGAGGAAAATAATATTGCAATTACAATCCGGTCAAATGTTTAGTTGAAGGTTATATTGTGCGAAAATTTAGTAAGACGTAGTAAGGAGGGATCAATGCGAAGTGAATGAGTCATGTATAGGGGAGATTAATAATGATGTTTAACCAATAGTATTAATAATAATAATAATAATACTAAGTTTGGCGAATAAAGATAACAGAGACAATTACAATTGAGTACGAAAGGTCGTAGTCAAATTTATGTCATGTAATAGCTAAGGTCATCATTGATTAATCGACCTTGATATTGGGCACGAGAGGAGGAGTGGTTGAATATATTTCTCCTTTAAACATAGCCCTGGTTTCTTCATCCGGATGGCTAATGCTTTAGCTGTATGAACGACTTTAAGTCTGACAAGTTTTGACAAAAAGTTACTGACCTTATAAATAATTGAAAGAGATTGGTTTATACTGGCACTATGACCAGTTTGTACTAAATGGGCCAATATCGAGCTGTTCACTTTCTTCATCAAACGTTTGTTTAGTCTAACTGGAGGTGTTCACAAGCACGAAAATGTAAATTCCTAGAACTTCGGTCAATATAACTTGCTCATATCAACATTAACAATTTTATTGTATTTTGTTTAAAAATCCTAAATTTGCCTACATTAAATTCCATTCATTATTTTGCATCACGGATTGTATTAAAAAGCAAATTTGAAATATCATCAAAACTTTTAGTTTTATTAAAATTAGCTACTGAATTCAGTTAACAGTAGTATAGACCATTTGAAATTCGACAAGTAACTTATATTGGGTAACTGATTAATAAGTTTCCCGTTTAAATTTCTTTTCTTTTCTGTTTTTTTTCCTTTTCCAGAAATTGTTATTGTTCTGTTTTTTAAATTTTATTTCGAGTAAATTACTAAACGCCACCTTCTTGATTTTCTCTTTTTATTCATTTTACTACTCATTTTAGATGATGATGAAATTACAGAAACTACATGGGTTATTAAATTAGGTGATAAAAATGTAACCGATAAAGATATGCTTGATTTTATTAATAGTCAAATTAATGGTGGAACATTGTTACAAAATAATTCAACAAAACTTAATACTACCTCCTCAGGTAAATGTATATATCTTGATAATTTCAACTGCAATAAATATGTTATATATATATATATATATATATATATCATTCATTCACAAAACCCCGATGTATGCCGTCTCAGTGATCTAGAAATTAAAGGGTTCACGATCGAGATCGAAGCTCCTAGGTTCTCGAGTTCCACGTCTAGGATCGTAGATGTACACTACTAAAGAATCCCATTTTAGGATGAAACGATCATCCAATGCTTCCACGTTTTCACCAGTGATCTAGTTTAGATAGAATAATATTCCATTTTTTCAATCAATGATATGTATTTTATTATATATTCACTTATAATTTGTCTAATATCTGATGGATATATTTTTATCATTATATCATCTCATATTTATTATTTATAGATAAAAATAATAGAGAAACTGAAACATCATGGTTTTCAGTACCTGAAACAAAAAATATGAATGAAAAATGGATTTCTCAATTCCTTGATAATGATAATGATATAGATATATTAGGAAACAATCGATACGGAATTGCCTCAAGCAATACAACACGTAGGTTGTTTGTTTTTTTTTGTTGTTGTTTGTTTTGAAATATTTTTATCTTTTAATGATCAATTTTCAAGTTAATTGACATTGAATTTAACATTGAATATTAAACATTTTAAAATTAGGATATAATATGATAAAGAATAGTAATAATAATAATAATAATAATAATAAACCATTTAAGGTCGTTCATTAGTCATTAATAACAGTGAAATAGATTACATGAAACATAATAAATAAAATGTGAAACATTAATGATGGGATAATAAATGAAATAAAGAACTAATAATAATTTCAATGATTAAGATCATGAATCAGATGAAGCTGGATCATCATGGACGAAACGGTCATCCAGTGCTCCTAGGTTTTTCATAGTAATCTAGCTTCAATTCATTCATGATTTCAACTATTCAGATAATGATATTGTATTATATAATGTAAACTAATATTTATCTAGTAAACTTTAATGTTAAATTTACTGTTGGGTCTCGAGAAACATAATAAATGGTAACTTTGGAATCCTTTTATGGACCAACACTAAACGCATATTGCTATTGTATATTTATTAAATAACTAAACTATTTATATTCATGTCCCTGTTACTATAACCTTTATTTTGACCTATGAACCATTATTATACATTTTACTATTCTTGTGTTATACCCAGTATATTGATTACTACCTCCCTCATTCACAGTCACATCTGGCTAATTCTTGCACAAATGTTGTTTCATATTTTATTGGTACGTTGTGGTCGGTTTGATTAGTATATAAACTCAGTATGCTTGAAATATAATGATTCATATCTCAGAGGCTGAGACTTGTGTTCTGGACTCAACTGGCTAGATTAGACAGGTAAGCAGGACCAATCAGGACTCTAGGTTATTCTCACGTATTTTACGCGTCTTTGGTCCGATCGATAATTCGCTGCCGTCTAATCTGCAGTCACAGTTATAACCCTAGTAAACTTCAATGTTAAACTTATTCATAATATACAAGATTATACATATATATGGTTAATAATTTTGTTTATTTATTATATTTTATTATTTAGGTCAATTAGTATCTAAAAGTTTTTGGATTTCTGATGATTTTGAAAAAGAATTAAAAGAAATGGACTTTTTAGGAATGTTACGTAATTCAACTGAATTAAATGATATTATCAATAAAAAATTGGATTTCTCTTCATCATTTAACCGTAAGTTATTCATAGATTATTTGAATGTTATAGTCGACAGGTTAGTGTCTTTTATATCTGACTTTAATAAATAGTATTCCATTGAATGAGTATTGAATCCAGGTTAAATCTCCTAGTAGAATTGTGGGTTTACTCGAGAGTATTCAAAAGCCTTGACATTAGTTATATAGATAGTTTATTGTTAAAGATTGGTAAAATGTACAAGCGTATAGGAAGCAAGCATACAAGGAAAATCAAGTGTGTGTGTGTGTGTGTGTGTGAGTGTTAAAAAATTCTTATATATTTATGAGTGTTAATCAAGTATGGATAAATTATTGATTGTCTGTATGTTACAATCAATGGGAGAATAGATTAAAATGTGCTCACTCAGACTCACGCAGAAAATTGCATGGTGGATCAACTGTCTAAATTACAGTATTCAGTTAAATAATACAGTAGTTGAATGAGTTTACTACAATAGTTTACTTAACTTTCTTTCAATATGTCACTTTTTTAAATGAATAAAAACAAACTACTTAATCTTAAATAAGTAGGTTCATATCATAAGTACTTTGATTGATTTAAATGATCAAGATAATCAATAACCAAATTGTTTTTTGTAAATATATCGATCATATTAATCACTTTTATAATAAATTCATCTTCATTTACCTGATTGATCATCTTAACATTGAACAGATCAAAGTTGAAGCATTTAATATTATTAAAGCGTTACAAGTTTTCAGATTCTTTACTAAAATTTCATGTAAGGTTTTTCATTATTATGGGATTATGTAGTTATTGAATTGACTTAATAGTAATTAAGTGTTAGTGGAAAGAATATACAGAATAGCCATCATAAACTTTTAATAAAAGTTATTCACATTCATTTTGATACTACCTAACTGAAATAAGTTCACAGAAACCTTCAGAGCTGAAGGTATCTACAATGTTAAAGGAACTAACAATTCCAGTGAAATTTAAACTACCATTTACTGAAATCATAATTGAAAAACAATATCATGAAACTGATCCGATGATTCCTGATTGATTTCATTCAAACTTTAAAACTTATGGGTGAGTGATAGTATCATACAGTACTACAACAATATCATTAGTTAGGTATCTACGGCAAATAATATGTCTATATGCAATCAAAGAACCGTGCTTACTAGAATGGATACTTTAGTTATGCAATAACAAAATACAATAAACTAATATGACTACTAATAGCTGTGTCGAAACTGCAATAATAGATAACATCAAAATGAAGGCAAAGAACAAAAAATACGATAACTGTTATAGTAAAACAAATATTCATTGACTGTAAAATAAAATCCGAAATAACCATTAGAAATGATAAGTAATTCCGTTACAATGATGAGTAGGTCTGCTTAAATGATTGAAAATACGAAACAATAACGGATTCATTAGTATAGAGTTGTCGAGATTATTAAGTTATTGATTGAGATCTTGAACCGATTGATGTTAGACCACCATTGAAAACCTGGAAGCACTGGATGGTTTTTTCTTACTAACATAGGCCTCTTCTGCAGTGCGCATCAACAACCCTATACTGACAATTACCATGTGCTCACTAGTGACTAACTTCCAGAGGGGATTCTCGGAGTTCCAGCGAGAAGCCGTGACCAGTGGAGCTAATCCGTGTTGGGTAGAGACAGGTATCTATTTCAGTACAATGGAAGATGGTGGCTTGATGGTGGTTGATGTTAGACATTAACACCGTTAGATGCCGGCTCAGTGGTCAAGTAGGTTAAGCGTTCGCGTGCGAGGCTAAAGGCCCTGGGTTCGAATCCCAAGAGCGGGATCTCGGGTGAGCACTGTTAAGGACGAAACGGTCATCCAGTGCTTCTAGGCTTCCATTGGCGGCCCAACATCAATTACTTCAAGGTCTCAATCAATAACAGGTTTACTCAATATACTTTGTGAATAGTTTTTGGTTACTGAATATTTACAAGTAGTATAAAATAAAACACAAAAGATAATCGAGTAATACTGTCGGAACACATCATATAGCTATCCATTTCTCCACTTTTTAACCAAGAAATTGTAAAAAAATTAGTTAAATCTTGGATAAATTTTTCACCAGAATAAAAACCATTTTCTTTTATTTTTCAGTTAATGACAATTCAACTACAAATAATCAAATAAATTTAGAACTTTCAATCAATAAGGTGTAGAATATTTATAAAACTGTGTTTTTCTTTCTCTTTCCTGTTTTCTTCTTAATTATGTACGATTTAAAATGTTAGTAAACTTTCTTTTGTGATTACACTGTATTTGTTTCTGAATTTATAACAAAAAGATTGCGGTTAAAAGTTGTAGGGACGAATTTGTTTACAGATTAAAACATATGAAGATTTAATGAGGGATAACTAATTTATTGTTTAGCGCATAATTACAGAGTAGTTACATCCTTGATCTGTTTACCCACTTTTGGTAATGAGGATAACTTGTCTAATGTAGATTAAGAACATGACGTGACAGGCTGACTGACTTAACTTTAAGGCTAGTATGTGTGAGTTCGAAGTGAAATTAACTGTTTGGGGTTGAGAGACGAAAACTATTCTATCAGTTGATTGGCTGACAAACACATAAGTGAGAGAAGATAAGTCAACTGGAACACTACATAATTTATTCCCGATTTCGATCTCGTTCCCGATTTTCCGATTTCAGATCAGTGCAAATAGATGACTAACCCGATCATAACATACGATAATTAGGAAAATACAATTATGTCCGAAACTGAAGATTACCGTAGAAAATAGAGTACAAGAGGTATTTCCTGGAGTTCTAGTGAGAAGCAGTGACCAGTGGAGTTCAACCGGGTCTGTTGAGAGATAGGAACTCAGTGATGATAATAGTGGATGTGTCGCTCAATTTCATGGATTAGTTGAACTTATAAATTAACACCATTGAATGCCGGCCAGCTCAGTGGTCTTGAGGTTAAGCGTTCGCGCGCGACACTGATAGGTCCTATGTTCGAATCTCGCGAGGTGGGATTGTGGATGTGCCTTGCTGAGGAGTCCCACAATAGGACAAACGACCGTCGTGTGCTTTCAGGTTTTCTATGGCGGTCTAGCTTCAATTGACTCATGATTTCAACTATTGAAATAATTAAGTCATTAGAAGTTTATTTCAAGCAAGCTTATCCTTCAGACAAGTGATCAATACAAACATGTTTCAAGACGGAATAAGCTTGTTGAATGTATGAAACTTTGAAAAAAACACGATATTCCATTGATTCATTAAAAACAATGAAGACGTTCCAACGAAAAATGTTCTTTTGGACGATATCATTCAATGAAGCTGTTCAATCACATTTATAGGTAGTTTTTTACACGTAGTCCATAGTAAAACAGAGAGGTTTTTACAAGATTATCAAAGAAAACCAAACTAATTCACGTGGAGGCCAATCAAAATAAAGTGGTGTTGCATAATATAATTGAGATTACCAAAAATCTTCAAGTATTTCAAGTAAATGGAACTGGGTTGGTTGAAGTTAGACATTAACACTGTTAGATGCCGGCCAGCTCAGTGGCCTAGAGGTTAAATATCAACACGTGAGACGGAAGGTCCTGGGTTTGAGTCCTGCGTGTAGGACCATGGATGAGCACTGGTGAGGAGGCCCGTACTAGGACGAAACAGCCGTCCAGTAATTTCAGGTTTTCTATAGTGGTCTAACTTAAATTGACTGATGAACTCAACTATTAAATGAATGAGTGTCATTTTAATGTTATCAAAATATTAAAGTATTGAATAAAAAAACGTTGTTTTATCTGACAAAGTAATTAACAATCATCATGAGCTTACGTTACATAATAGTTTTGGAAGTAATAAATAGTAATAATCTATGGAATAAAAGATTAAGATAACTGTCTACTTAATAAAGAAGAATGTCAGAATTAGCAATTATAGTTCTTAAAATTCGAAGGGGTACCAAGACCATGGGAGATAAGGGATTGAACGTGACTATATATATAACACATACATTCTTACATAACAATAGTTTCATTCCACAGGAGAAGTAAACAGTATTCACAGATTGAATGAAGCCAGAAGATGTACAATCAACAGAACGTGAGTAAATATAGTGAGCAGTTCATGATGAAAGTGGAAAGAAAAGTCGACAATGATTAATTAAGAATCATTAATAACTCGATAAGACTCCACTTTCTCTAACGCTTATTTATGTGTAATCTACTTTACAATGGCTCAGAAAATTAGAAAATGTGAAGATGTTCTAGAAACAAAGTTCCTGGACTTAGTTTTCTGAATCAAATGCTGTTTTTCCTTTATCATCACTGATGATATTAATCAACTTTTGCATAGTTGTTATTCTTATCTTTATCATAGTTTCTTGGGGATGTATAATGGTAATCCTAACGATTAACTGTTTGTGACAATTAGAAATAACCAAGTGCTCATTTTATAAGTACTCGTTTTGTTATATGAACTTGTAAGAGTGTAAAGCAATTCACTGTGACAGATAAATACATACATCTTTAGAGGTTCATACTGTTACGAACGTAATTAACTACTTATATTGTAATACGACAATTGAACAACAAATGTTTAATGAAAGGTATAACAAACTAAAGAACTAAATCAATTTACAAGTTTTGAGAAAACGTTACGACGTATATTTAAGTTACTTCCCGATGGTAGCATATTCAGCTGAATACTACGAAGGTTTGTTATGGAAAAGAATACCAAGTTCCACCAAGCTTTCAAGGGATCTGAGACGCTACGCCTTCTTCCCTTGTAGTATGCTTTTACAAAATAAAAATGGAAATATTGCGTTTAGTTATTTTATTTATACTTAAATAATCAATCAGATGAATAATCGTGGTAGTTGTCATTAGTAAACACTGTTATCGTCAACTTGTAAATTGTTCGTCCATATATCTTTCCGTATACAGCAGTTTGTTAAGTTGTTCACTGGTAAAGACTTGAATATTAGGAAGGTTTTAACCCTCTGAATTAGCTGACAGAGGTCATAAGTTGCATATGGTGAGATTATAATTTATGGACAACTTTTGAGCTAATCTCAAGTGACCTTGAGAAGTTTTAGTGGAGTTTTGTTCTCTGAGCTGGATCACCTGAGAAAACAGTCTGTATAGAGTAAGAATATATTAAACAAAACTAAAAAATGCAGTGGATATACTTCTTTAACATGGTTTAAAAACTTTTAAAGGTTAAAAAGAGGCTTTGCAGTTCTGAAATAGTAATCCGTACGATACAGGAACTCATCCATGTGACTCCAAATAGTCAACCTCTGGAGCCATGATAAGATTGCAAAATTCTTTTAGCATCGATCACATTGCTTCTATATTATTTGCGTACTCCAGTGGTGGTGCAGAATTATGATCTACTATGATATTAGTACTGCTCTAATAATAGACCTAATCCTAAATTTGTAGATTTGTCATGATATAACTGCCTAATCTATAAGATCTTACGTGGAAGTCACACCATCGACTACACCAACTCACTGTATCGTATCAATTACCAATACATGATGTAGAACAAGGTTAGGCTAGAGAAGGAACAATATATTTAATATGAATAGAAGATATAAGGTAATATTCAGATGGACCACGCCTGCATGGCCGAGCCATGCCATCCGATCAACCCCAGTCCATTCAATTCATTGTTCGCGCCTTCTCCATCGTTAGGTATTTCTCCGCGTTAAATATTGAATATCTATTTTCTGAGTAGTCTCGTGTTCACAGCTTTGTGGATTGTGTGGCTATTGTCCAATGCCACTACACTACTCTCCCACCAGAATCAACGTGATGTTGGTTCGATACCAAATTGGATGGGATCGTCGTGCGCCGGAGGTTACCAAGAGTAATAAGAATCCTCCGGGTATTGGTAAGCTGAAAGATAAATCAAAAGGAAGGCGGCAGCATCTGGTCGGGAAATACATGTAATAATTTTAAAATATCTGCCTTCATGCTTAACACGCTTAAAATGAAAATTTGGGTGAAGATTATTTGAACTATAAAAAATGGGGTTACAATAATAATAATAATAATAAAACGATGCGTGTTAATAGCCGTTGGTTAATAACTTAACGTATAGGTAGTAAGTATTTTGTGTTTAGAAATATTAAAGTAATGAATATTGTAGAGATATTAATATTGGTATTAGTTTTGGTTTAAATTATGAAATCAAATAACGATTATGCCGGTAAGTTGTCCATATGAGTTGAATTCCAATTGCATCTGTATTAGTAGGCTAACTGAAGGAACAAAAGTATACCGTGGAGAAGAATTCCAACTAGTGTTCCAGTTAGTTTGATACGGTTTATTTAGTTACGGGGAGATTTTCTCAACCTCATTTTTACTTGACCGTGATAGAATTTAGTAATACTACTAATACACATGAATGGTTATCAAAATAAAATTTAAATACATGATAATTATATGAATTTTGGACAGATAGCTAGGAACAAATCGTTAAACATGAGTGTATTCGTAAGAGACATGCTCTAGACTCAATGTTCTGATCTGCGGCAGACTATTTATTTATATTTATACTTGCTGGCTGATTGGGCATACAAGTTAGTTGCAAGTATGCAGTTTATCATAAGGCGGAATACGATTTAATTGAGATATAGTGGTTATAAGTTATTGCAATCAGTTAAGCCTATGTGTCATATTACTAAGTGATGTGGTGCTGCAAGATGTATTTGGCTAAATAAGTTTTTACAAGATGATTAATAGTGAGTGATGCTCATGTGATTATCAGGGAGAACATAAGTTGTAACCAAGGGGAGTACACTCCCAACTCATGTCTATGATAATGGCTTGAACATTAGTCAGTGTTGGGGTAAATTCGACTGCTTATACTGATTATTTGCATGCATGATTGTGTCGCTAAACCATCAATTAGACTGACAAGGTTTTGAGATATTTACTGAATGAGCAACTGATAGAAACATACTGTAATCATCTGTAGTGAATGAAGATAAAAGAAAAACAGCAGTAGTGATAATTATAAGTCAATTTGCTGACCGATTTTGTTAATAGTTTCATTAATTTTATCAATCATATTACGTGATTGTCAAGTCATGACAATGCTTTATGACGATATCCTGAAACTATTATGTTTAACTAGTTATAGTGTTGATTGAGGATTAGTCAGTGGAAAAATAGGTATTTTTGCT